GCTCTATTAAAATTTTGAGCTGTTTATTTCTCCACTTCCATTAAATCAGCCTCTAACTATTAGTAGATGAACAACAGATGAATTTGATTCAGCAGATAATGACTATAACAATACTGCAATTTTCTGTTACAGTGCTGTTGTAATTTTTAGTTTTGTGACACACACAATGTCAACTTCCATGACAACAGAAGACATGTTGTAATGCTCCATCATGTAATTATTGTTTTCCAGTTTATTTGTCAAATGAACATCTTTTTGTGGAAGATGACTGCATTCAGGAGAATTCTTCTGATTATAGGGATTGATATGATATAAAAGACAGATTAGAAAACTTTGGTAATTTACTAAACCTAACTTTAAGAAACTAGAAGGTATCAAATATGTTACTGAATGAGACTGAATGAGCATTTTTTATGAAGGTTTGGCTGTGTGTCATACATTGTTTTCTCAAGAGAAAATTCTTAATAACACTTTTCTACTTTTCTTCAATTTTCTTAAGATGTTCTCTGGAAAAAAGTGACAGGACCAGTTTTAGTTTGGGAGGATATTCAGGAGAAGTCAAAGACGACTCCACTCAGACTATCAGAATCACTTCATGTCCCAGTGCACTGTCATGGCTGACGTTGCTTTAGGACATTTACTGATAATCTCTCCTGTTCAAAATCAAAATCGAAGATAATGTCAGTAAATTATGGAGTGCCACAAGTATCTGTGGTTAGGCCCTCTGCTATTTTCAATATATATGCTGCCATCTGGTAATATTATAAGAAAACATGGAATTCGTTTTCACTGTTATGCTGAGTGTGTTAAAGATTTTTCTATTTTCTTCTATTGAATTCAGCTTAGACTGAGGTATTACTTATTGGATCAAAAACCTGTACAGAGAATCTCTAAACAATTTGCAAGTAGAAGGGTGGACTGTTATTTCATCCTCTACAGGACTGCAACTTTTTGCAAGTCTGTTTCCACCTCAGAAACATTGCTAAGCTCTGGGAACATGCCACATTTGGCTCCTAAACTCTGGAATAGCCTTCCTGATAATGTTCAGGGCTCAGACTCCCTCTCCCAGTTTAAATCTAGATTAAAGACACATTTTTTAGCCAAGCATTCATATAATGCATATCACAACCTTATACTCCAATTGTATCAGATCAAATGCACATGATTATCTTTGCTTAATGTTATAAACAGCAGCTACACTAATACATTTTTTTTTTGTTTTTTTTTTTGCTTCTCTGTTTTATCTCGGGATGCCTATCCTGAGGTATCTAGAAAGTACGTCAGCACCAGTTTACATCAAGCCTATATGAAGACGTCAGATGCCCCAGTGAAGAGAGAGCGCCAACTAAACTCTTGCACCAACTAAATTCCTCTGATAACAGTTCACTCTAAATTGTAATGTGGACATTTCCTGAAAAGCTGCTTTGAAATTATGTGTATTGTGAAAAGCATATTGTACATATTGTGTGTATACAAATAAATGTGAATTGAATTAAACACAGCAAAACATTTTTCCACAGAATTCGCATTCAGGCTAAAAACAAAGCTTTACGGGTATGAAAAGGGGAGGACTTCACCTGGAATAATTGGAACAATTTGTTGTTGCACTTCAACTAGCGACTTGCAGCTGGTTGCAGCAATTCTAGACTACTTATCAGGGTAATTTCACAGAGAATTGCTCACTATACTAAACTTGCACAAAATAATTTCTATACAGCATATAGAATGCCATCTGTTTGATATTGCTTCACAGACACTGATAAAAACATTTAGGAATAAAATCGAAAAATACCATTGGCTTTGGTCCAAATGTGGTTATAATGTAATCTGCACACATCCCAGAGGAAGTGCACATTGCAAGTCTAATTCACAGAAAATGATTTGGACAAGTTACATATGTTGTATGGGCAATTGTTGTGGTCAGTGACAGAAGTTCATCACCTTAACTAGTCTGGTTATTAGGGTATCAGACACTCCCGCTTAGCACTCAATATATGACTTCTAATCCACTTGACCTTAAACAGCTGTTCCTGTTTATATATATAGTGTACATATAAATGTAGCATCCTTTGGCTCCAATAGTTCAGAAATATATTAAGAAGTAGGGTTAAAGAATTGGCTCCTTGTAATTCATGAGATGAAATTGAAAATTGAAGTGAAATGACAAGAAAATGGAATTTGCTGAATTCAAAGTCTAATGGGCATTCTGGTAGTGTTCTTCCACATTGTTCCTTATGAAATATAAAGAAGTACATAAATCAAGTACAAATTGTGACATTTAAAACAACTCTATCTCTATAAGGCCTATAAAATCTGCAATCTAACTTACAAATTACACTCATTGTAATTATATGAATTTCTCATTTTAATTCTACCTCCTTAAATTAAAATTGCAATGCTGCATCCTGTTTGGTACAACTCAAATTTAATATAAATTCAGGAACTGAACTGTAATTTTAAAAAGCATTATAAATGAATCTCTGATTGATGCAAACCTCTGAACTTCATTGACAAACTGATTATTCATTACAGAGACCTGATGTCATTTTTTAATGACAACACTTTTATCATGGATGACTTTCACAATACCACCAGGGTCTTAAAAAAAGGTATGACCCTATATGCCCACCAACTCAAAATGCAGCACAATTCAGAAGAGCAAATGCAACAATATACGGAAAATCAACTGACTTGAATGCAAAGATCTAATGGATTTAAGTAGGACTGCGTCAACTTCTAGACATTCTAGAAACAGATTTCATGAGACGTTAGATTACTTTCACTCTCACTGAAGGAGAGAAACAACATATCAAGCACATAAGACATAATACAATTGTCTGGTTTGCATGTTACATTATGAGGTATAGGCTTATTGAGGAACACATTGGAGAGAGGTCTGGTTATTTCTTTCATTTCTATTAGTGCATTTTTTCTTTGTCAAATAAAGTTGCGTCTTTAATTTTCAAAGGTTAATGTGAATATAAATGGAACATCACTACCTAAATATCTTTCTAGAGCTTCCCGACAAATGTTTTTTTAGCCCATTGTAAGGTGTCCGAAATTTTGCAGCAATGCGGCACTGTACATGCTTACTTTTACATACATCTTTATTGCTGCAATTGTGGGAAAATGATGTTTCCAAACATACACAAATGTATTTCAGTTCAGAAAGGATTCACACAAACAAAGCCACTAGATCTGTGTAAATCAAGCAGATATTCCTCTTTCTCCTCATGTCAACACGACCATGCAGCCCTGCTGTGGAGCATTTTAAGTGCCGCAGCAATGTACAGGCACCAGCGACACACAAGGTGTCATCACGACCACAAATCACTTCCTTGTGAGTGTTTCTTCCACCCCTCCACCCCCAACTCTTTCTCTTCCTCTCTCCTTCTTTTTCCTCTCTCCAGCACACCATATAGGACGGAGTAAGTATATATCTCAATTAGAGAGCAGGGGTTGGAGTTGGAGAGGGGGAGGGCTTCTGTCCATGCTGACTCCTCCCCCCCCAGTGCCCCACACCAGCCCACTTAAAGTGGAAGCAGCAGCAGCGCAGTGCCGTCTGGAGCCCTGTCAGTCAAAAGCCCTGCGGCCCTTTATGCAAATCTGTCTGTCTGTGGTGGACCGGGAGGGGAGGGGGAAACATGTCTAGATTTGTTTGTCATCCGTTATGCCCTCCCCTTCAATTCTTCCACTTCATCTTCTCTCTCTCTCACACACACACACATACATACACTCTCCTATATTCCGTATTTCTCTCTTATTCACCTTCCCTAATGGTATGCCTTGACACATTTATTCCTCCTTCTTCTCTACTTCTCTCTCAGGTCCCATAACCTGTCCACTTCTACAGCCTTGAGATGAGAAATTGTGACACAGCCGTGAAACTGGGAACCAGTGAGGTGAAACATGCAATGCTACTGGGCTCTAGAAACTGGGTCGCATAAAAATTGAGCCTAGACGTGTGTGTGTGTGTGTGTGTGTGTGTGTGTGTCTGTGCACATGTAGAAACATTGTAATTGAGAGATTTTAAAAAAAGGAGCAGACCGAACTTGTTGTATAGAAGATATTATTACATAATTCACTTAAACGGGTTGGAATTCATTCACAAAAACAGGAACGTAAAATAAATAAAATGTCTTTCAGCAAACGTGCTCTTACATGGCTCAACTTTACAACTGATAATACACCTAGTTTTGGCATTCTTAAAAAGCAGAAAGACTATTTAAAAAATCCTCTATAGGAGGATCACCATTATTCCTCCATCCCCTCCCCAAAAATATCCCCACTTTCAAAACTCTCAGAAAAGTGTCAGGTTTGAGAAAACAAGACGTCTCAGTGAATCCCTTTGAATACCCCCTGTGGTGAAATTCCTTGAGATATCAAACTAAGACAGACAACTGAGACAAGAGCTGCGATGATCTTTAAAACTGGTGACCAAACGTCACCCGTCACCAAAAAAGCAGCATCTTCATCAGCACAAATAAAAACAGCAGGCAAGATTTAAACTAAATAAACACACAAACAGTTCAGTCAAATCATCTGTTTGTCAAATCCAAATAAGCATCTTCAATAGAAATGTTAAGACTACATTGTACTTCAAGCGATGATAGGATTATTGAATGTTGCCATAGTAAAGTATAGCACAAAATAACCTGAATTTAATTAAGTAGAATTAACTTTATTTATCATGATGTTGTCATTCATAGACGGGATCCTGATATCATGTCATATTGAACTATATATACAAAAAAAAGTATAAAAGCTAAAAAAAAATCTCAATTTACTCAGTCAATACCGAAACATGTAACTAAAAAAACACTTTAAAGTTTTAGGTGTACTTGATTGCAGGATCCTTCATTCTTTTTTGTTTACGCATTGTAACGACCAATACACAAGGGTTAATGTGTTTGAGGAAGTAAGAACGAAAAAACTTGCTTAAATGACATGCTGAAACTAGATCTGAAAAGAGGTGTGTGTTTGGTTGTAACAGTACTCACCTGTAGAGACCTGTAGTTTTTTCTTTTCTTGTCTGAAGACGTGCATGTGAGAACAGCACTTTTGCGGCTCATGGCTTGTTTCCACACTTCTGAAAGGACACATTATCATAACTGTTAATCATAACTTCAGTCTGACAAACTCTACCAGTGTAACAAAGTAATGTTTTATGAATAAGTCCTAAAAATCCTCTCTTCACCAGGGCCATGTGTGCACATAGTTTTCAGTACTGTTTTAGGAGCCGTTCACACACGACATGTAGTGAAAAAGAACGCCGAAATTATCTCAAGACAACTTTTAGTACTTTTTTTAACTTAACATGGCGTCAATGCAATGTTCATGTGTCAGACACTAAAAAAGCAGCAAGACGTGGAACAAATGTCAACGGTGTCCATCCAGACAATTATATGTTTACACAGAACATATTTAAGTTGTAAAACAATTAAAGGATTAGCTCACCCAAAAATGAAAACGCATTAATCATTAATTACTCACCCTCATGTCATTCCAAACCCGTAAGACTTTCGTTCATCTTCGGAGCACAAATGAAGATCTTTTTGATGAAATCTAAGAGCTTTCTGTCCGTCCATAGACAGCTACGCAACTGACACTTTGATGCTTTTGAAAAAAAAAATCGTAAAACTATACAAATTAAGTGGTTTAGTCCAAAATGTTCTGAAGAGACACAATCACCTTATATGATGAGCAGATTGAATTTAGGCTTTTATTTACATATAAACATTCATTAACTCACATATCAGCTGTGGTAAACAGAAGCTGAAGCTGTTCGCTTGACCAATGAGGTTCATTCTCCTGTGTTACGCAGCATCTTTGAGCTTCAGCAAGAGGTTTGTTCTCACATCAAGCAGATTCGGTAAAAGCCATAAATTGAATCTGTTCATCGTGTAAAGTGATCACATCTCTTCAGAAAATATGGACTAAACCGCTCAATTCATATGCATTCCTCTTTCTCTTTATGAACTTTATGAAGCATCCAAGTTGCGTAGCCGTCTATGCAGGAACATAAATCTCTCAAATTCCATCAAAAAGATCTTCATTTGTGCTCTGAAGATGAAAAAAAAAAGTCTTACGGGTTTGGAACGAAAGAATTTTCATTTTTTGGTGAAATATCCTTTTAACAATTAAAAATACACAATAGCCCAGTTTCACAGAGAGGATTTAGATTAAGCCAGGATTAGGCCTTAGTTCAATTCGGCTATTTAAATCAATTAAATTCACATTTATTTGTATATCGCTTTTCACAATATAAATCATTTCAAAGCAGCTTTCCATAAAATGAACATTACAATTTAGAGTGATCTGTTATCAGAGGTAACTTATGTATTTCAGAAATGCGTGTATAAACAAAATCACAGTTTTGGGGAAAATGTTTTCATTTAATCAAAGCAATAATTTAACCAGCTTTTATAAACATGCCTCTTACATCTCACATTACTCTTGTGCATCTTGAGACAAAGTAATGGCACTGACATACTTTTAGATATGTCAGCGCAAGTTGCTTTCAGTTGAAACAGCTCAAACTTGCATTTTAGTCTAGGACTAGGCTTAAGCCTTGTCTGTGAAAATGGGGACGTAACTAAAACTAGAACACCATTGTTTTGTTTGTGGTTCGGCTGTGTTTCTCACCTGTAGAGAACACAATCTCCATCTCCGCAACATTTCAAATCTCTAAAAAAGCCAAGCTAATGTTGATTCTCGTTTTATTTTGAGCTCTCTCGTGTTCATTTTGCCAGCACACTCTCCTTTGAAAAAACATGTACACGCGCATACCGTTCCACAATGCCGATCTCATGCAGCTTCAGCACGGATAGTGAGGAGGAGCTCCTGGTCTCTGCCTCGTTCCAGTTTGCAGACATTTGTTCGTCCTTCTTTGTTTATAACGAACACAAACTTTCTTCCAAGAGCAACAGACTCGCGCGATGGCACGAGCGTCATCAATGACAACGTTTACGGCATTGGCCCTGGCTTTTGTTCACACAGCGCGCATTCCGGGACTGATTCCGGCAAAGTTACTCCCCAACTCCCTGCATCGATGCCGGTTGCACTATCAATCCTGGGTCGTGTTTGCGTTCACACAGAAGGTGTTCTGGCAATTTCCCGGGCCGGCAATTTCCCGGGATCAACGCGCTGGGTGAAAGGGGCTCGCCTAAAACAAACACGCACGGGCGAGTGACGCATGTAGCCTACGCAGTTTCTCAACCCATCACGCCCGACCATACGCACCATATAAATCGGGGCCGTTCACATATCAGACTAATTGTGCATTCACATGCTATGGAAAATATGATATTTACCAGTGTGTTGCGTTTAAGTTGTTTTGTCTCATGACCTGCGGTGCGCTTGCAGCATTGAGTGCGCCTTGCCGTGCGCCTACAATTGAACTTGAGCGCACAAAAGACGCGATATGTGAACTTTTTGATTATGTGTGTGTGTGTGTGTGTGTGTGTGTGTGTGTGTGTGTGTGTGTGTGTGTGTGTGTGTGTGTGTGTGTAAACAAATGTCCACCTTTACATTATTTTTTCCTAAAGGTTTATAGTAATTCTGGGAAATGGAGTCATGTTCCACAAAATTACAATTACAATAAATCAAACTTATTTGTTCTGTGACTAGAGCTTTTAACATTCATTCCTGGGGAAAATATTTATTGTTAATATGTTCAAGTAGTTATAGAATATGTAATGCAATCATATGACACATACTAAAGCTGCATTGTTAAATACTTGTTAAATATACTTGTTAAATATAATTTTTATTGAATTCCAATTATGCTTCCTTTTCTTCAGATTCGATAGATCCTGATTTTGACATCAATTCAAATTCAAGAATTGAATTGGAATTCAGGATTCATTCTCAAATCAATTCTGAATTGTGCACAAGCCTGTTACAAAGCCTGTGACCATAAAGAGGTGGTATAATGCCCTTTTCATAAGATGTAAAATAAGTCTCTAATGTCCCCAGAGTGTGTATGTGAAGTTTTGGCTCAATATACTCCACAGATATTTTTATATAGCATGCTAAAGGCACAATTTGTAGGTTATTGTTCGCCACAAGAGGGCACAGTTTCCAACAATAACAAAGGCGTAGGTTTATGACGCAGTGATGATCTGAATGATGGGACTTGCTGATGGATAATAATGTTTATGGATGAGTGCAAACATTCATGTTTTTTTAACATTACAATGGTATGAAGCAGGTCACGATTGTTAAAGAGACAGATATCACATGGGAGTCCCGCGGAAATAAAGGAATAAAGACATTTAAGTCTACCGAACTACCCGCAAGTGTTGGATTACTCACACAGTTCAGTTTACCAGACGAATTAAACTTGTGAGGTAACAAAGCGCTGCTTCACTTATGGTCTAACACTATCACACTCAGCGGCATTTAAATGTGTGTTGAAAGTTATAATGTTATACGTGTTAGTTAGTTTGTTATACGAAGCTAGCAGTAAGCTAGAACATTAAAATAACATACTGACCAAATTCTAACATTTCATCATGTTGAGCTAACGTTATAACACTGATTTGTTTTATGTACATTTGCTCACCTGTCTAATAAAGCTGTCAAGTCCAAGTTAGTCGCGTAGAGCTCTCGGCATCTCAAAAATGATGAAACCACGCTGATGTTGATCCTCATTTTAGTTCTCCTTGTTTGTCCCAAAGTCTGAACAAGAACTGCATTGTTGACCACGTCTGTCGCCATGGTTACGTCATGGCTATGGCTGTATGAGCGGAAACCGAGGATAGCGCGGATATTGGGGCATTGACAGGCGACATTTTTTTCTGGGACGGCCACTTATTTAAAATGGAATTTCTCTGAAAAAAAAAAAAATCTTTGTAGACTTTTGGGATATTGTAAGTACACAACTGCAGGAAATATATCACACTGTGCAAGTGATTTTTAGATATTTTATAAAAAAAATTCTTAATTATTGTACCTTTAAAATTGTCACTTTTTAAAGGGACACTTCATCCATTTACATTAAGCTTGGTATCTTTAGAAACACAGTCATATTTTTGAATGGTAATGTTTATGCCCTTATTTCCCCCTGAGATGGGAAAAATAAGGATTTGAGTTTTTTACTTCCTGCTTATTATGACATAAAAATCGTCATTTTGCATCATAATAAGCAGGAAGTCACATTTCATTGAAAAGTGTAGAGATTACAAACATTAGCTCCTCATTATTCCAGGGTGTGGGACCCACTCATCCTACAGGCCTATTACAGATCAGTGGGTGGGACTTCACTTGCAGAAACTAAAATCAATATCAGCCATCTTGTTTGGAAGCTAAGCTAACAAGCGCTGTGGAGGTAGGAAGTATGATAATGACGGAAAAAACTAAACATGATATGGAAGAAGAGGATTTTGAAATTCTGCTGCTCGAATCTGATGTTCGTGGCTATCTTTACGAGCCATCAGGCTGAGGCTGATGGAGGAACAGGAGGCGGCTGCCTGTCGTGGACGAGGAGCCGGACTGCTGGTGCCTGTGCTCTCGCTGTGCGCTACATACACAGATAGAGTCTGTCTGCGGCAGAGAATTTCAACGATGGCAATTTCTCCTGGATGAAATCATTTGTGTTGTGATGTGAACCATCCTAGTTTCGCCTGAATGAACATCCCGGTATCATGCAGTATTTCACCATATAGGAAGAAATACAAACGAGGAGTAATTCACTAATGAGTTTGCCAATGTAATGGGGTTCATTGGCTACTCTCAGCTTCTCATAATGACTTACACAACGATATGGGAGATGAAAAGGTTTGTCGTCCACTAGGCGGATCCAATGTACAAAATCTTTGACTTCACCACAGTTTGTCTTGTCTCATGAAAATATGGACTCATATTTCTCATTGAGACAAAGTAAATAAATTTTCCATGCTAAGGACACTTCACACGCTGTCAGATATGCACCATCTCATCCTCAGATTCCTGAAGCTTTCTCATCTCATGTTGAAAGTGTTGAACTTGAGACTTATATGGTCACTCTCTGGAAGATCTTCCACTGCAATGCATGGAGAAACATCTGCGATCTTTGCATTTCTTTATAACACATTCCTAATATTTATAACTTTCACAGGTATCCATTGTATTCCTTGAAAGACATCAGTTTTATTAGGAGAGACACTGGGTTTGTGCTGCTGTACAGACTAATATTGACCTGGTGACTGACACTGGAAACACAGCAGCGCTTACGACAATGCGTTAAGGCAGAGTGAGCAGCACATTTGGCACATGGACGAGGTCGAACTGGAAGCCATGTTAATCTTGGACTACATTGGCCACCGTAGGAGTTAAAACGTAATCGGAATTGAGAGGAACAGAAACTAATATTCACTGGATGGTCATATACATTTTCACCGCTAGATGGGGGTAAAAATCACACAGTAGCTTTAACATATATGAGTAGGTGACATAAGACAAAATAATACAGTAACTGAATTTATAAAAAATGACCCTGTTCAAAACCTTGAATCTTTATACTGTGTGTCGTTACCTGGATTATGCACA